TGATAGGATCAGTCTTGAATTTTAGCCATTCTAATGGTAGTGTAACAGTAAGTTGTTGTGGTTTTAATTGGCATTAAGTTAGTTAGCATTTTAATTTGCATAAAGACTAATGATTAACTTGGCATCTTTTAATGCACCTATTTTCCATTTGTATATCTTCTTGGTGAAATGTCTTTCAATCTTTTGTCCATTTACAATTTTTATTTTTTTATTTTTTTTTAATTTATTTTATTTTTTTAAAATATTTTATTTATTTATTTGAGAGAGACACAGTGAGAGAGAGCATGAGCGAGGAGAAGGTCAGAGAGAGAAGCAGACTCCCCGTGGAGCTGGGAGCCCGATGCGGGACTCGATCCCGGGACTCCGGGGTCATGACCTGAGCCGAAGGCAGTCGTCCAACCAACTGAGCCACCCAGGCGTCCCCAATTTTTATTTTTATTAATGAATTTGAGAGTCCTCTACTGAGTCTGGATACAATTCCTTTGGAAGGTAGTGATTTGAAAATATTTGCTTCCAGTTTATCACTTGTCTTTGTATTCCCTTAACTGTATCTTTCAAAGTATAGAGTTTTTAAATTTTGATGAAGTCTAATTTATCACATTTTTTTAATGGGTCACACTTTTGGTGTTGTATTTAAATATTTATCACAAATTTTTTCTCTGTATTTTCTTCTAAAAGTTTTATCATTCTACACTTAAATTAAGGTCAATGATATATTTTAAGTTAATTTTTTTGTGTAAGGCATACAGTATGAATTAAAGTTTTTTTTTTTTTTTACATATGGGTATCCAATTATTTCAACATCATTTATTGAAAAGATTATATTTTCTCTACCAGATTGATATTGTACCTTGTCAAAAATCAGTTCACATACATATGGGTCTATTTGTGAACTTCTCTTCTGTTTTATTGATCCATGTGTCTATTTTTATGCTAAAATGATACTGGATGGATTACTTTAGCTTTATAGTAAGTCTTAAAGTCAGGTAGTGTTGGACCTCTAATTCTGTTTTCTTTTTCTTTTTTTACAGTTCCATATTAATTTCAAAAAAAGCTTGCTATTATAATAATAATAAATTTGTAAACAAAAAATAAACTGAATTCTACAGAATAGTCTGCTGGGATTTTGATTTGAAACACATTGAATCTATAGGCAAATTTGGGAAAGAATTGATATTTTGATAATATTGAGTCTTCTGAACCATGAACAAGGTATACAGCTCCATTTATTTTTCTTGAATTTCTCTCAGCAATGTTTTTTGGTATAGGCTTTGCATGTATTTTCTCAGATCTATGCCTTAGTATTTGACATTTTTTGATGCTGTTATAAATGGCATTATTTCTCAATCTCACTTCTGATTGTACATTGCTAATATATAAGAATACAATATTGTATATTCATTTTGTTTCTCACAAACTCATAAGTTTTACTATTTGTGTGTGTGTGTATGTGTGTGTGTGTGTAGATTCCAAGGGATTTTCTACATAATCATGTCATCTGCAAATAAAGATGATTTTTTACTTCTTCCTTTATAATAAAGATATACTCTAGGTGCTTTTAATTTATTTTTCTTGCCTTATTATACTGGCTAGAACTTCCAATCAAATGTGGAATAGAAGTGCTGAGAGTAGATGTATTGTTTTGGTTTTGATATCAGGGACAAAACTTTAATGTTTTACTGCTAAGGGGTGCCTGGGTGGCTCAGTGGGTTAAGCCTCTGCCTTCGGCTCAGGTCATGATCTCAGGGTCCTGGGATCAAGCCCCACATCGGGCTCTCTGCTCAACAGGGAGCCTGCTTCCCCCTCTCTCTGCCTGCCTCTCTGCCTACTTGTGATCTCTCTCTCTCTCTGTCAAGTAAATAAATAAATAAATAAATAAATCTTTAAAAAAATTTACTGCTAAGTAATGTCTTACTATGGTTTTGGTATTTGGGTCATGCTAGCTTAGTGAAATGAATTGAAAAATATTCCCTTCTCTTCAAATTTTTGCAAGAGATTGAGCAGAATTGATATTCTTTCTTCCTTAAATGTTTAGTAGATTTCACCAGGGAAGATGATTATGCTTAGAGTTTCCTTTGGGGAAAAATGTTTAGCCACCAATACATTATTTTTTAATAGAGAGCTCTTCAGGTTATTTCTTCTTGAATGCACTTTGATAGTTTTTGCATTTCAAGGAATTTCTCCATTTCATCAAATTTATCAAAATCATTCAAATGAAGTTATTCATAACATTCTCTTATTATCCTCTTAATATCCATAGAATCTGAAATAATGTTACCTTCTTCATTCCTAATATAGGTAATTGTGTCTTATTGACATTCTCAAAGAACCAGCTTTTGGTTTTATTGTTTTTTGCTATTATTTTTCTGTTTTGTACTTCCTTGAGTTAGGTCATATTCTTTGTTATTTCCTTTTCTCTGCTTACTTTGGTTTTAATTTGTTTTTCTTTTCTAGTTTCTTTTTTTTTAATTTTTAATTTTTTAAATTTCTTTTCAGTGTACCAGAATTCATTTTTTATGCACCACACCCAGCTCCATGTAATACGTGCCCTCCGTAATACCTACCATCAGGCTCACCCAACTTCCCATCCCCCGCCCCTTCAAAAACCTCAGATTGTTTTTCAGAGTCCATAGTCTCTCATGGTTCATCTCCCCCTCCAATTTCCCCCAACTCCCTGCTCCTCTCCATCTCCCCATGTCCTCCGTGTTATTTCTTATGCTCCACAAATAAGTGAAACCATATGATAATTGATGCTCTCTGCTTGACTTATTTCACTCAGCATAATCTCTTCCAGTCCTGTCCATGTTGCTACAAAAGTTGGGTATTCATCCTTTCTGATGGAGGCATAATACTCCATAGTGTATATGGACCACATCTTCCTTATCCATTTGTTTGTTGAAGGGCATCTTGGTTCTTCCCACAGTTTGGCAACCATGGCCATTGCTGCTATGAACATTGGGGTACAGATGGCCCTTCTTTTCACTACATCTGTATCTGTGGGGTAAATACCTAGTAGTACAATTGCAGGGTCATAGGGAAGCTCTATTTTTAACTTCTTAAGGAATCACCACACTGTTTTCCAAAGTGGTTGCATCAACTTGCATTCCCACCAACAGTGTAAGAGGGTTCCCCTTTCTCCACATCCTCTCCAACACATGTTGTTTACTGTCTTGTTAATTTTGGCCATTCTAACTGGTGTAAGGTGGTATCTCAATGTGGTTTTGATTTGAATCTCCCTAATGGCTAGTGATGATGAACATTTTTTCATGTGTCTGATAGCCATTTGTATGTCTTCATTGGAGAAGTGTCTGTTCATATCTTCTGCCCATATTTTGACATGATTATCTGTTTCATGTGTATTGAGTTTGAGAAATTCTTTATAGATCCTGGATATCAGTCTTTTGTCTGTAATGCCATTTGCAAATATCTTCTCCCATTCCATGGGTTACCTCTTTGTTAAGATGAAGAGTACTAGACAGGTATCTTGTTATTGTGTCTTCCAATTTGAGTTTGTCTGTTGTTTTCTCATTGACTAGGAGTTACATATTTTTGGAAAGAATACCACAGAGGTGAAGCACTCCTTTATTACATCTTACTAGCATCTACATGATGCCAATATGACTTATTACTGGTGAAGGTGGTTACTTATTACCTTACTTGGATAAGGTAGTATCTGCCAGGTTACTATCTTTCTTTTCTGATATTCGGTTTGTTAGAAATGAGTCACTAAGTTTAATGGACACTAGAGGAGAAGGAATTAAACACCTCTTGGAGAGAGAAGTATCATAGAATTTGTGGAGATGGGGGGGAAACCACTACAGTTTATAATAAATACTTAATATATTTATTATATATTTGGGAGAGATCTTAAGACTATGTAAATATTCTGGTTTCCTTACAGTTCTTACTCTAATTTTGCCATTAATCCATGATTTTGCCTGCACTAACATTGGTGGTGTAATGGTGAATTTATATTTCTCTGATTTTTTCTATGTGCATTATTTGGAATTTTTCTGTTAAAAATATTTGTCCCTTCTCCTTCACCCATTTATTTATTCAATCATTTATTTATAGCAGTATGGACTCATGGATATTTATTTTATCCTACTGGTTGACTTTTGAGTACATTGTACAACATTCTGTACAACATTCTCTACATTTCCTGTAAGAGATCTCAGACACTTTATACATCAATGTGACTCATCCATTCAACATTTCATATATCTTAAAATACACTGCCATGTAATACAGGACATTGAAAATACAAAATTCTCATGAAATGATTTGACTCTCCAAACTTATACACATAAGTGAACAGAAACCTCATTCTTTTCTTTGTACAATTACTTTTACTCCAAATCCCTAAGGCTAACTCCCAAAATCTCAATAACATTCACAAACTGCTATAATCTTGTCTCTGTTGCACATGGACACACATTTCTGAAGTTGACTTGTCTTCATTGTGTTTTGCAGGAAGGATGGGTGGTAAAAGAATTTGAAGGCAGAAGAAAGAGAAAGAGGGTTTATCCTGACCAGCACGATCTACACACATATAATTGCAAACAGTGGATAGATAATTTTGTGATTAGATCAGAATTTTCTTTTTTTAAGTTATGTTCAATTAGCCAACATACAGTGCATTTTTGGATTTTGATGTAGTGTTCAATGATTCATTAGTTTTGTGTAATACCCAGTGCTCATCACATCACGTGCCCTCCTTAATACTCTTAACCCAGTTACCCCATCCCCTCACCTTCCTTCCTTCTGTAACCCTGAGTTTGTTTCTTGGGGTCCAGAGTCTTTCATGGTTTGTCTTCCTCTCTGATTTCTTCCCATTCAGTTTTCCCTGCCTTATCCTGTGGTCCTCCTTGCTATTCCTTATATTCCACATATGAATGAGTTTTCATTGTTTTTCCAAAGAAAAAATAAAGTCAGACAGAGGAGAAATAACAGAGAGGGTGATTTAACCTGAAATATAAAACCTTTTACTATTTTGACAGCTTTCTACCTTGCTACTTGATATCAAGAATTTTCATGGCTGAGCTTTCTCTTCACTGGACTACGGGTGAGTTCTCTGAGCTAACTGGTTTATCTGAGCATAGCTCCTCAGCTAAGGCTTCTTGATCCTGGGAATTCTATGAGAAAGTGAAAAATATATAGTCTATCATGTGTTGGCATTACCTACCCAAATTCATAAAACTGTTTTGGCTGAGATTCTTTATTGAGTTGGTTTACTTTTTTGCTAGCATGTCTGAATTGAACAGTGCTTTTGGCATCCACTAGCCCCCATTGGATATCCTTAGCAGTTGTACCTTTATGAAGCAGAAGGGGACCAAACAGGGCTTCTGAATGATCCTATTCATTCATCCACAGAGGCATTACTTCCTGCCTCACAGCCTCCCCAAAGAAAGCTCTTTCTATTTCCTCTCTGGCTCTCCAAGGCTCTATAACTTCAGCTTTTCACTCCCCCACCACGTGGGTCATTTCCAGTCTTAGTTTATTTAGGCCAGTGTCTTTCTTCATATACATGTGTACATTGGGTTTCTCCATGTGCTTGGTTTCCTCTCCTCACCAGTTGCCTTTTTCTACAGATGACAGTATTTGCCTTCAAACAGAAAAGAAGTTTGTCCTCTTCATTCCTGGGGCAGCCACCTGCCTTCAGCCGCCAGAACTCCTCTGTTACATTCTTGATTTGGGGTAAACTGTAGAACTGGATATGGTAGAACAGAATTCCAGAGTCATTTACCTGAGCAGTTTACATCCCTTGGACCTCTCCAAGCAGCTTTCTGTATCTCCAATAAGATTCAAATTCCTCTTTCTGACCTCTCTGGCTCATAAATTTCAACAAATGTGTGACCTCTGTGTACACATTTCTTGGTTTGTTTTGACTCACACCAGAGGGGTAGTTAGAGCAGGATGAGTGGTCCATTATGAGTGTTTTTTAAAATACATATACACTTCTATGTATGTACCCATTTATTTAAAAATTTTTTTTGTTGGCACTGACGAAGCAGACAGGAAACACATATCATGAGCAGATACTAATGTATTCAATTATTCATTCAAAAGCCATTTCAAGGCAACTAGCATCATCACGTAGCAATTACTGTGACTATAAGGTTACTACCATGAATTCACTCATGAAGCTGACTATGCAGCAAACATCAGCTAAGAACCAAGTCTCTACTCAAATTTCCAGAATGGCAAGGATGAACAAGACAGGGAAGTGTCCCTGTCCTTAAGAACTCATTTTCTAGGGGTGCCTGGGTGGCTCAGTGGGTGAAGCCTCTGCCTTCAGCCCAGGTCATGATCCCAGGGTCCTGGGGTCGAGCCCCACATCGGGCTCTCTGCTTAGCAGGGAACCTGCTTCCCCCTCTCTTTCTCTGCCTGCCTCACTGCCTACTTGTGATCTCTGTCAAATAAATAAAATCTTTAAAAAGCTCATATTCTGGTGTATTCATGCAAAGTGTCAAAGAATAAAGCTAACACTTGTGTTGGATACTTCATGTAATATATTAAACTCATTAAATTTTCACCAATATCCTTAAGGTATACTGATATTTTCATAGTACCTTCTCAAGGTCCTCTAGTTCTCCCACCTGGTCCCTTTCTCACTGTCTTTGTCTGTTGCGAAGTTCACAAGGATGACGCAGACATTCAATCAAATATGCTGTGAAATATGTACCAAATAGATATATGGTCAAGATGCTAAGGGTCAGGAAAGAAATATTGTTCACTGCCCTGAAAGGTAAGGCTCCTCAAAGTTTATTGTGCATTAGGATTACTTGGGAAGCTTGCTTAAAATTTTTCGGCTTGGCCTCTAGTCTTGGAGGTTCTGATTCAGTACATTTAAGGTAGGAAGAAGGGATCTGTGTTTTAACAAATAATCCAAGTTATTCTAATGGAGAGAATTTTGACAAAGAGTAGTCTAGGAGTAGGTAAGATTCCTAGGTCATGCAGGTGACTCCTTTAGGAGCCCAATGCAGCCAAATTAGTTTCTTACTGATATTCTAATGTATGGAATCATTGCCAGATGGATTTATTTATCCACTTCTTGATTTTTTTTTCTGGGTATCACTATCATTTAATATCTTACTGTGAACTACATCACTAACTGCACTGATCCTTGACAGAAGAAATGTAGGTGCATAAAACACAAAGTTAAGGTAAAGAATAGTGGGGAAAGGCAAAAACTCAATTCCCAGGACTCAGTTGAGAGACAAAGTACGAGTCTCTGCATGAGACTTTTTTCACGAGTATCTTCTTCATGGCTACGTCCAAATAGGTCAAGTATATGGAGATTAGTTCAATGTCCCTCACCTCATTTCTTCTGTCTGAGACCTATTCATGCACCATTCACTCTTCTCTGAACGCTTTCTTCTCTGATTGGACATCTCTCAGAATTCTGTCTCCTTGGAGCCTTCCCAGACTTCCAGACATAACTTTACCTTTTCACATCATCTCTCAAGATTCCCAGGTCCTCTGTGTGTAGGGCTGAGCATGTGTTCTTGAGTATGCTCTTGATTACAGGTATGGCTCTTAGCCTATAAACTCGGGTGTGCAAGAAATACTGCATTTATTTCCTCTAAATTAACAAAAATATAATTCTGATTCCTCATGTCTTCAAACCATTTGGAAATTCAGTCTGCTATCCTGGTAGTCCCCAGACAGAAAGGTCCCAGGGTCTTATGAGTACCAGAACTTTGGGGAGCCCTTTTAGTCATGGACAATGATCTATATTGGTTAGGGCTGCCTGTCATCCCTTCAGGGTGCTACTTCCAGTCTGGTGGCTCTGTTTATTTGTGTCACACTGAGAACATCAAGATTCTGTGGAGGTTAGACACCCATTGTTCGTGGACTAAGTCCTTTTGGTCTCACAGGTATCCTCTCTTGAGTTTTTGCACAGTATCCCCAAATAATGTTATCAAGGAAAAAGGTATGGTGCTTCACTCATGGTGAGAACTTGAACAATCTGTCTGAATAGTTTAGGTTTTGTTTGGAGGTGGAATTGAAAGGCAACTTCTTTTTGTATAAGTCACCAATGGGAGGAATTGTTAAGACTGATGTTAAGGACTTGTGTCTTTTTTTCAGTTAGAGAGAGGCAAAAATGATTTTTTTGGCTGCTTTTTTTTGAAAATAATATTGATATTGAAAGCTTACCGTATAACAGGACTTGGACTATGATATCCTATCTAATCTTTATAATACATTTAGAGAGAGACATAGCAACCCCCAGGTTTTGCAATTAAAGGGGAAGAACAAGGGACTGAGAGTACAAGGTTTGTCTAATACAAAAAAATTTAGGTACAGAAAACTGAAGTCAACATGGGTCTCTTGACTCTGAGACCAATTTTTGTCTTCCCACATCATATATGTCTATCTGGCATTGCTGTACATTTGACTAAAAGGATTAGTCCTCCAAAACCCCCTTTCTTTAGGGAGTAGTGTGCAGCGAAACTGACTTCCCATTTACGATGAAAGCTGTAAAACATCTTTAATATTTAGAAAATGAAAACTTAGCAGATGTCAAGGAGTTTCATTTAAGAGTTTCTTTGGTCATTTGCTTGTAGGTATAAAGAGTCTAAGAAAAATCAACTTTTGAATGTTACGTGCTAAATTGACATAACCACTGAGGATCCTCCTCTACCTTTAACTCCTTTTTCTGAAGTAAAATATATAATTTGTTATTAAAAAAAAGACAAAAGCATATCTTCATAGTCATAATATTCCTTATGTTTTGATGGAAATCCTCCCATGTCTAAAGTCACATTGGGAGAGTTAGGTCACTTTACAGTATGTGTTCTGTCCTCCAAGTGCCCTTTGGCTAAATCAGCCCAGACTGATGCATTCATGACCTCATTCAACTTCAAATTCTCTAGAGGAAGAAATCCTTCAACTTTTCTTCTTCTATTATTTCATAATCCTTTATCTTAAGCATGCTTTCCTACCTGTGCAACTTACATATTGCCCACTGTGATTTCAGTGGTTTCCTCTTGATACATCTTCAGAAAAGATGGAGAACAGCTGGCTTCTGCTCTGCATATAATAACTCCTCTGAGACCCAAATGCTGTTATTCATTTCCTTACCTTTAATGGAAGACATTTTTGCTGGACATTTTGGAGGGTCCACCGGATACAGCTTTTAATAAAATACCCATAAACTGGAGGAAAGTCACCAGATAGGAGATGACCTCTCTTGGAACCAAACCATCATTAGGACCATAAAATTTAAAGGCAGAACCCATCTGGAGGAGTCCAGGCTGCTGGAACAGCCACCTTTTTTCCCTTTCCTTTTTTTTTTTTTTTTTTAACAAGTCAGTGTTCAGTGTGGTTAGAACCATCAACCAATGGCAAGATATTGGCACCATTAATATTTACTCTCAAGTAACTAACTTGAAATCAAAAGGAAATAGGTTTAGACCTAAGGAAATCACAACAAGGAGAATAAAAGAAAATATAGGCATTGTCATCATTTGTATTTTGGTTCTTGTTACTTCCAATATTCAATCATCCCACAACTTATTCTGCCCCATGGTGTCCCAGGCACTGCCCAAGGCACTGGGGCTACAGCTGTGACAGAAACAAGTCATTATTATTATCCCCTTAGAGTAAATATCCAATTCCCTCAAACAAATCTTGTTAAATACAATCCCTGCGACTTAAAACTCTTTAAGCCAGAATAGGAAGATTGATATAAATCCACTGAAAGTTAAAAAAAGTGAAAAATATTAAAAAAAATGAGAGACAGCATAATCTTTGAAGAAGCTTGGAATGAAAGAACAGACTCTTAAAATTGCAAGGGGTGGGGTGGGCTTTGGTAACTATAAATGCGAAGTCCTGAGATCTTGGTGTCTTCAAGGAAAGGTAAGAAGAGATATGTTCTGGGAGCACTGTCAGAGAGGGAACAATGGTGGGAGATGAGGTCAGAGAAAGTCAGAGGCGGGGCTGCTAGGGACCCGCAGACCAGCTACAAACTTGGAAACCACACAAAAGAAGGGGATGTTTGGGGCCTCCAACAGGGCAGAGACTTGGTTGTCTCCTCAGCTTATACAACAGTGTCTGACTTATAAAGGGATCAATAAATATTTCTCACATTGATGGATGCATTTGTGCTCCTCCTTGGATGCTCACCCTCTCAGATGTTTTCTTTCTTTCTTTCTCAGATGTTCTCTTCCTTTAAAGAGGCAGGGAATTGAAAGCACCACTCTTAAGCTGCCTGGCCATTGGGCAAGACTAGTACCTCCACTGAGGTACATTTTGTATCTATCCCTACAGCCCTGAGACATTTGCTTCTAAAGGAGCCTCATCTCATGGCTCATGTGAAATTGTGGGGAGGTCAGGAATAAAGCATATACCATGCACCTCATGCTGAACTAAAGCCAGAGTGTAAGTGGCAGCTGCTCTCTCTGTCACAGCCCCCTTCCCTTGACTAGTGTGAGCCAAGTTTCTCTACAGTCTCTTCATGTAATTTTTGGTTAGAATGGAAATGAGGAACCTTATGTTTATCGCCATTAAATTTCATCTTCTTGGTTCCCACTCTTTGTCTCCTGGAGAGGGCTGAACACACTTGTTCTTTAGAACATGGGTGAGTGGCCATGCAATCTTCAGAGCAAAGGCCCTCAGGGTGTCTTGCTAGGAAATGATGGTGGTAAGAAGAATGTGTGGTGGGTAGGCTACTGGAGAGACAAATTAAGAAAGGCATGAAGTTGTGTAAGACAGGGCAGACTTGGGACGCCTGGGTGGCTCAGTTGGTTAAGCGGCTGCCTTTGGCTCAGGTCATGATCCCGGCGTCCTGGGATGGAGTCCCACATCGGGCTTCTTGCTCGGCAGGGAGCCTGCTTCTCCCTCTGCCTCTGCCTGCCACTCTGTCTGTCTGTGCTTGCTCTCTCTCTCTTTAAAAAAAAAAAAAAAAAAAAAAAGAAAAGAAAAGACAGGGTAGACTTGGAAGTCAGATTGGTTTGCATTTAAATCCCCAATCTCCCACCTCCTGTGAACTGCGCACATTAAATAATCTCTCTGAACTTTGACATCAGTAAGTTGGGAATGAAAGACTTCTGTGTTATTTTGACCATCAACAGGCAAAGATGAGAATTGTCTAGTCGTGTAACCCACAGCAGACCCTGACTAAAGGAGGTGGTTACTGCTGGCTGAGTTGTTAGGTAGTGTTCTGATGAGGTTCTAACATTCTTGGGATCCTCATGTAGAAGACATTATTGTTTCCAGTTCCCAGTTGTGAAAACTATGTGCTTAAGGATTAGTGGCAAGTAATCACTAATGAGTGATTGAATCAGGATTCAAATCCAGGCTTGTTGAATGGTGTCTTCCCAAAGATCAGAGACTCTGTGATCCATCTGGAGGTTAGGGAGGCTCTAAGAGGTTTTTATAGTGGGAAGAGTGGCTGAGTCTGAGAAGAAAGCCTGTAAGCAGTGCGGCAGTGAGGGCACAGGGCCCCTACATGCAGCAGAGCTGCTGGTGTGATCCAGTGAGATCACAGAAGGGAAGAGTCAGTGCAGGGGTGGCCCCCTATAATAAGTATAAAGAGGCCCAGGATAGGTAAACTCTTAGGAAGTCAGGGCATTTCTTTGAGCTTGTAGTGACTTCACGCTGTTGTATTCCTTTCTGCCCTATTCACATCTCTTGGAAAAGTTTGATCAGCCCAACTTATATTGCCTGGAAATGGCTCAGTTCCCTTTGGAGTAGACTGGCTCTCTTCCAGAGAAGTGAAGCAAGAGCTGGAGGAGATAAAGAGAAGAGCAACAATGTCATCTTACCACACTATTATTTATGTGTGATTTACTGAACACCCAGTGTGTAGGAGGCACAATACATGGTCACATTTAATCCTCTTATTATCTTTGGAATGAACACAGGTTTTGTGACCTGTCCATGCGAGAGGCAGGCCTGGAAGTTTGACCTTAGACTCTTGGCTTCAGAAACTCACGTGAGGCTGGCTCAGCAAGGGAGAGGGCATGGCGAGGAGGTTGCTGCCAGGTGCCCGGTCCTTGGTCTAAGCTTTGGCATGCAGAGAGCTTTTGGCAGGTCAGGCCAGAAATTGCCCTTATGGAAGGCTAGCCATTTGTAAGATCTTGTGGGTCCAAGACATTGGGCAAATCATCTGACTTCCTTTTTCCACTCAACATTCTCAAGCCAACTTGGGTGGCTTATTCACATCCTGCATTCAGATTAGTCTGTTTGGACACACCAGGAGAGCATAAAAAGTCTGTATAGTAAAATTAGTGATTTAGGTTCTTTTTCAGAGAGAAGATGGGAGATGAACTGTTTTAGATAACTTAACACATCCTTTTCTTTCTAAGCCGGGGGTGGGGTGCTTGAGATCTATTTTAACCCCAGCATGTTTTGCAGGGCTCTCACAGCTGATGTAGTAGCAGAGAATAACTTAGCAGCCCTTGAACAAAGTTATGTAGTGTGGAGGGGGCAGTTTTTCTGTTTCCTTATTTTCAGTTCCAGAAGAATCCAATCTTCTGTGTAGACTGTCTGACATAGGCCATGGCCTTGTCGGTGGCTCCTTAATTAACAAAGAGCTTTTTATTTATCCAGTGCAAAGCTTGTCTTACTTCCTTCCCCTATCTGCTAAGCCAGCCATGCAATTCAGCACGTACTGAGACCTCAAAAAAATCCAACAGTGGACTTAAAAGAATCCACTCAGCTAGCCGAGGCGGGGTGGTGGGGCGGGTGGTTTAATAAGCCTGGTCTCTCCTTTTCTTCTCCTTGCATTCAGTTTTTATAGGACTGTCAATGTGTTTGCTGGGGCAAAATGATGGGACTCCCAGAGGCAGTCAGGGAGTTGCGGTGGTTAGGGGAGCATTGGGAAGGTAAAGGGAAGTGTGGCTTGGACCACAGCCAGTGACTGGACAATTCAGAATTTCCATAGCCTTGTGCTTGGGGAAAACATTTGGCAAAGCTGTAGCCTGAAATATATAAGCCTAGCTTTTTAGCCTCCAGGGCCTCAAACTGTGTATATGTTCCCTTCCCCTATAAGCCTCAGGCTAGCTTTAATCTCTCTTGCAGAGAGTCCTGCGCTGGCTGGTCCAGAGGAGTTGGGGTTCACCTGCAGGCGCTGCCCCCCAAACAGTTATGAAGACCTCTTGGGCTGTCAGACTCTTGGGGAGCAGCCCCCGCTGCTGGTAGAATTAACATTGTGACTGGCGGCCTTCATACATTCCAGAAAGGGAGGATCTATCTTCTCCAGGAGATTAGTGAGAGGACAAGGGTGCCAGGTTTTCCATGACCTTTACCCTCAGCTGAGTCACTGGGGAGGGAACCAGCTACAAAGACACCACTACAGTTGCCTCAGTAATCCCCTCTGAAACTCACTCATCAGAATGAGAGGAGAAAAGATGCGTAATCAACAAAGTAGAAAATGTTTCCCAAGGTCTGGGCCCTGGCTCCTGTGTTTGAGTGTCTTGCCTAAAAGCCTCCTTTTGTCCCTCTAGTTAAAGCATTATATGGTAGAGGGAAGGGATCCAATGACTGTCATCAGAAATGATGTATAATACTTTTGGGCCAACGCGGTGAAGAACCACTGTGCCATCTCCATCTCCTTTTCCTTTTCAGGGGCAACTTCAAAAGCAATATGCTGATATAGATAAGCAACTAGATCCCTGAGTCATTGGTTGAAGGAAAACTCCTACCAAGCCACCTTGGACTTCTAGTCAGTGAGAATTTAATTTTTGTTGTGTTAAGACACCAAGATTAGGAGCTGGCCTGTGCCAACCACCAGCAATAATTATCCTAATAGGTTGGTGTTAGGTTAGTTGTTTCCAGGAAAAGTATTCTAGCAAGCAACAGCTATTCTTCAGAATAGGCTGATGGAAGCCTGTTTCTGCCTAGTCTTGCACAGTCTCCACAAGTTTTCACAAGCATCCTTTGTGGGAGCCTGGAGTACTAACCAATCCCAAAAGGACATCTCTGGATTGCTGAGGTCCCTGCAGCTTGATGATTGGAAAGTAACTTCCTCAATGTCCAGAGAGCTCTTACTGAAACTACCAACATTCTGGCTACATAGGCACAACAGTGGATCTGACTGCATTGATTCAGTCAACAAATGTTTACTACATACTTATAAAGGTCCAGACAGTCTTCTGGGAGCTGGCATGTATAGTGGCATTTCACCTCCTTCATGGTCCTGCTCCCATCCTCCCAAGATGGCAATTATATAACATGATGGAAAGCACATACTCAGGAACTGAGCTAGGTGCCGGACCACATCAAGGACCTCTTCCAACTCCTCAAGAACCCATTAGATAAGAATTCTTCTCTTGCTCTTATAGATAAGGAGCCTGACTTACAGAGAGCCTCCAGGTGACAAGGCCAGGAAATGCAGAGACTTCTCAGCTCCCAGACTCCCTAACTTCTGTACTCTTTTTGCTATACATGGATATTTCAAGATTCCTTCCCAAATTAGTCACATGAGATTCTCAGGATGTTCTCTCCATGGTCAAGTTCTTCCAGTAGGCAGAGAACTTTCTTACTAGTCACAGGACAGCTGATTCAGATTCTGGCCCAAGAATCATGAAGTAAGTATGTTTCTAAGAGACATGGATATACACCCCATAGAGTCAGACATAGGACAGGATTTGGAGGAAATCTGGATTGGTCCCTTGTATTCTTCTGGGATTATAGCATACCTTCTTTCTCTGTCCACTCCTCCCCCATTAGCATATTTGTGGAGGAGGAGATAGATGTTATCCTTTTGGATGTCTCTTTTCTATGGTCTTCCCCTGTTGGCTGGCAGGGAGATTTTTTTTCCACTCTAAGTGGATTTTCTTTGATTAGACTTTAGTAAAGAAGGAGAGTAACTGTGAATTAATCCATCAAAGGATTGTTATAAAATATGTCTGTGGCCCTGGTGTGAAGTTTTAATAATAATGATTACTGGATCAGGGATGAGGAGAAAGGTGGGAATTAAAAGAAATTTTCTAAAGTCAAAATGCATATTCTTCAAGTCAGAATGTGAGAGAAAAGAACAGACTCAAGATGCAGACTAAGGAGTCATCTTGTTCCAGAGCCAAAGAAATTGCCAACTCAGTAAAACATTGCTTTTGATGCTTTTGCTGTAGGGACTTTCTCTTTAATGGGGGGTAATTAATTATCATCATCCACTCTTACTTAGTAATAATTCTTTTATAGGCACTTGGGCATTCCACTTGAATGTCATTGTCTAACATCTAGGCTGGAGGGAAGTAGTTCTTGGGTGGATGAAAATTGCATCCCTGGAGAGCTTCTGCCTTGGGGCACATTCTCCCTAAAACTCTGTGACTCACTAGCTATATGGAGCTTTGAGAGCTAGATGTTTTTTGCAAGGCCGTGCAACCCTGGATCATCATACTTGGTATGGCCCGAGGGAGTGGAAAAGAGTGGACACAACCCTGTTCTTGCTGTGGAGGCAGAAGAACACTGTGAGACCCTTGGTGATTACTGAACAGTGATCCATGATGTGCTGGCTTCAGTTCCATCTCTGTTCTATCTGAACAGCATTGGGCAGATCACTTCCTGGGCTGAGCCCTCCAACCTGAGCCAGGCATAGCATGTGCTTCTTCTCCTGACCTCACTCACTGTTCACAAAGGTGACTGATCTCATCCAGAGGCTGAGAGTGACAGAGCTCTTCAAGGACAGGTGCAAAATAAATAGAAGCTATTAAGGTTGACCTCATGATGATTACATGCCTTGAACAAGTGTTGCAGCAACCTGCCCCTGTGCTCATGGCTTTTTCTCTGCTTTCATTTTGGCTGAGAGTTTGTTCTTTATCATAAAGGTGGATGGTGGGAGGCAGGATGGGGAGTGGGGACTGACAATTAGAGGGCATCTCAACCAGTCCAGTACTTCACTAGGGCACTTCATCTGGGTTTCCTTGCTGAATTCTCACCACTGTTCTTGATGTCATATCACTTCATTTACAGATGGAAAAAGTGGGGCCCAGAGAAGTTAAATGCCACACTCAAGATGACAGTGCCAAAGCTGGAGTCCATGGGGCCAGAGGCTGGGCCGTTTCCACTTTGCAAGACCACCTTTTAGGTAGAAAAGTAAGGGCAAGAGTGAGTCAAAGCCAGAAGGAGAAAGAAACCAGCCTCATCATCCCTGTTCTTCCCATCTATCTTATTGTTTCTTTAGGATTTATTTCTTTTAGAAAAAGGGAGAGAGAGTGAAGAAGGATAGAGAAGAGATAGATGGAGAGAAAAAGAAAGACAGTGAATGGGGCAGGGGCAGAGGGAGAGGAAGAGAATTCCAAGCAGACTCAGAACTGAGCCCAGAGCTGGATTTGGAGCTCAATCCCAGGACCCTGAGATCATGACCTGAGTGGAAACTAAAAGTCGAATGCTTAATCAACCAAGCCACCCAAGTGCCCCTCCCTCTGTCTTACGCCAAACCTCCCTCCTTCTAACTTAAACTGTGTCCATCCCGAGAGATCAGTCATGGTGAAATGGCCTGGCTGACCATCTCCTGTTCTGCCCTACATTCCTGATGGCAACATCCCTTTCCCCTCACTCCTCCCCTCTAGCGGCAGTGAGGAGAAATGGCCGCTCACCCCCCTCTTCCAGGGCCAGAGTGCCCTCCTCCCCTCTCCCTGTTGCCCTCTCCCTGTTGCCAGAGCCTCACACTGGCTCCTAGACTTGCCAGGCTTTTGGTGACAGGGAAATCAGAGGAGGAATATGGGCTGCCAGGTCGTGTCAGGTACCAGGGACCCATCTGGGGAGATAAATGGAGTGCCCTGCCCTTTCTACATTTTCTGGACCACTGAGAAGATGGAATTCCAGAGATAAAGTTCCCTCCCTCTCCCCACTGTTGGCTCTTGCTAATGGAGCCTGTTGATTTTAATCTTTGAAAGAGGAGGGGAGGGGGACCTTCAGGAGGGCAATGCTGCAGATGCTCCACAGGGCAGCCCAGAGGCCACACGCTTGGTGCTCAGTTCTGGAAAACACCTGTTAATCTTTGTCTCTCCTCTTTAACTGCCATGTATGGCATTTTCGCAGCTGAAATGTGGTAATAGAAATAGTAGCTTAGGGGCCAGTACTGAACAGAGAGAAAGTGCGTTATGTCTGAGAAATTGACATTCCAGCTTCTATAAGGATGGAACTGAGATGAAAGATGAGGTGTGTGTGTTCAAGAGAGAAGGATGGGTCACCGAAGTCAGATATTAAGAAGAACTTCCAACTTGGGAGGGGTATGATGTTAGGGCTAGAGGTGGAAGAAAAAGAGGGTCATTTCTAATAGAGGTCTCAGCTCAGGGGAGAACTCAGAGGAAGGGGATGCACTCAGAGGACAGCTTTTGGGCCAGGAAGTTTGATGGGAGATAAAATAAGGCACAGGCCACCACTAGGACCCCAGAGCCTGAAGGCATCATCCTTCAGTACATTCTGGGCTGGGTGTTCCTTCCTTTTCTATTACAATATCATTATTGTCTTCTAAATAGTTAGCTACTTTACCTCACAGGCAATGGAAGCAAATTCATACACCAGAGTGGAGCTATTGGCTCAGATGCGTTTCTAACCTCTTAAATTCACATCGTTTCTAATCTTCCAGATCCAGACTGCATCATGGTGATCTCATGAGAAACTTCATACACTCTTTGTCCATGGCCACATAACTAGCACTGGAACCTGACTTCGTACACACCCCCTGCCTCTTCTCATGATGCATTCACTGAAGGGTCTTCCTGAGCATCATCTTTTACTAATCACCACAAACAGAATTCTATTTGGTGGAAGAAGCTAAAGAGGTTAAGGAATCTGCTCACACCCTTAGAATCACTGAGGAACAGAGCTGGGTGCAAATCTGAGCACCCCAGTTCTAAGACCTGTGCTTGAACCTGATCATTGGAGAATTCCCCCCTTCTGAGAACCTACACATTACCTGACAGGGTTCCCGCCTACTTACATTCTGTTCTGTTGCTTATTACTTCAGAGCAAACTACCCGTCAAACATGGTGCCATAGGATTTGCTTTCTCAATTCTGAGAGTGAGAAATCAGAGAGGGCACAGTGGGAATGATGTCTCGGGCTTCAGCTGGGATGGCACAGATGGCTGCAGATTGGAAGAGCCAGGCTGGGGGATCCACTTCCAAGATGGCCTCTTCACTCCCAGATCTGGTGCCTTGACTGGGATGGCTGTCACCTGGGGGCATCGACTAATGTCTTCTTTTAGTCATGTTGGTGACACAGAGGGAATTCTTATCTGGAGACTCAGGGCTCCAAGACTGAGTGCTCCAGTGAAGGTGAAACTTCATCCCTTTACAACTAGCCTTGGACTTCACCTAGCCTCGCTTTTGCTAGCCACTACTAGCCCAGATGTCTCAGACTCACTCATAGCTAAGGGGAGGGGACACTTCCACCTCTCAGTAGAGGACTGTCAAAGCCCTGGGTGTTATATGCAATGGATCAATAACTGAACTCTACATCTGAAACTAGTGATACGTTATGTTAACTAATTGACTTTAAATAAAATAAGCTAAAAAAATAAAACCACCATATATGTATTAAAACTCTGTGTCAGTCAGTGGGTTGAACACTTCAGATCTAACATAGACCAAGGAAAAAGTACTTGTCACATGGTTTTTTTAAACTTTCCTTTTAAGATAACTTAACAGAAAGTGTTGAGATGGAGAATATGTGGACTTTTATTTGCCTGAAGTCATCTTCTTCCTCATCACCATGGTGGCACAGGAAAGAAGAGCCCAGGAAAGAAGAGAAAGTGAGTACTATCTGCCTGTGGCATGTTGACCGAAGGGAAAACAAATAGCTCTGTCATCTTGGCTATGGTTCATATTCAAAATCAGCCCACCTGCTCCAGCTTTTCCATTTTGCAGCTGAGACGGCTGAGGCCCAGAGAGGAGGACAGACTTGTGTAGGGCTGTGTGGTTCAATATGGCAACCACTAGACACATGCAGGTACTTAAATTGAAATGAACTAAAATTAAAAACTTGGTTCCTCAGTCACATTGCAAATGTTCTCCAGCTATGTGTGGCTGCTGGCTTCTGTGTCGGACAGCACAGATAGAGAACGTTCCTATTTTTGTAGAAACTTCTCTTGTGTAATGCTGTTCTGGAGTCATATAACCAGTCTAGTCTAGGATTGAATCCTACTCTACAACCCTCTACTCTGCTAATGAGGTCCAGGAGTTTTCCCCAGGGAAGCTGCAGTGACTTGGGGCATTGTCTCCAGAGGCTCAAAGTGCAGAGCCCATCTCTTGTTTTGGCCTGTGCACTCTTCTGGCTGACTCTCTGGTTAACCAGGTGCTACCTCCAGGTGTGCTGAAAGAGGCTGAAGGATGGGGAATGGGTGGCCCTGGGATCTCTGCTGGGGATGGGGAGGACCTTGGAGATAAACTTTTGGCAGCCCCTTGGGAAGCTAGCCCTTCAGAGTAGGGGGTAAGCCCCTTTCCAGGGAAGGGAGACTCCCTCTCCTCTCACTGCTGTAGACACAACTGCATCACCAACTTTCCTTTGGCTGCAGTGCTGGCCAGTCAGCAGGCCCCAGCTCCTGTTCTTCAGCCTGGCAGCTCTATGGTATCACCTTCCATCTTGGACAGGGGTCCTCCATTCAAGGGCCTCTTAGATCTGCCAGCCTCCCCCTGCCCTCTTGGGGCCAACATCATTGCCCTCTGCCATCTTTCCTGCTGTGGTGGGAACAGAGGCATTGGCACCCTTTTCCCCATTCCACTGCCAGGCACCACCACAGTCTCCACGGCCCAGTGCCCACTCAAGGGCTGAGTGGCAGATACCCGAGTCTTGGCTCCTGGCCCCAGCTCCATTCCCAACCTTGTATATGACAATGGTCATATCAGTTCTTCTCTATGCACTTCATTTTATCATCAGCAAAATGAAGCAGAAGGTGGGGGTGTTTAGGTCAGTGCTTCTCAAACTTTACCTAAATCTCTTGGGAAATCTTGCTAAAATGCAGTTTCTGATTCTGTAGGTTTGGGTTGCTGGCTGAGATTCTGCATTTCTTTCTTCCTTTCTTTTCTTTTTTCTTTTTTTAAGATTTTACTTACTTATTTGACAGAAAGAGAGAGATCACAAGTAGGCAGAGAGGCAGGAAGAGAGAGAGGGAGGAAGCAGGCTCCCCGCTGAGCAGAGAGCCCCATGCGGGGCTCGATCCCAGGACCCTGAGATCATGACCTGAGCTGAAGGCAGAAGCTTAACCCACTGAGCCGCCCAGGAACCCCAGATTCTGCATTTCTGATAAGCCCCTAGGTGATGCTTCTGCTGCTTCTCTGGAGTGTAAAGATTTTGTGCTCTTCTATAGAACTTTCCATGGTGGTAGAAGTGCCCTTTATCTGAGCCTGCTAATATGGTAGCCTCTAGCCCCTGTGGGTATCAAACACTCAAAATGTGGCTGGTGAGTCCAAGGAAGTGACTTGTAAATTTTCTCAATTTCAATTAACTGACACTTCATTGTGTGGAAAGTGGCTACCAGCTTGGGCAGCACAGATAAATAACCTCTAAGATCTGCCACTGATAAGTGGTGTGAATTTGAATAGGTCACCTAGTCTCTCAACACTGGAGCTTTACCACTAGTAAAGAAGAAATTATGGTAAGGTATCACTCTTTTTGTCTAACAGGACTATTGGCGTGGGGCAGTGGTAAGTTCTAGAATAATTTTAGGCTGTATAGACGTGGGTTACATAGTAATGATCACTTATATCAGTGAAGTGTAGTAGTTTTGAATAATTAATGCATTAGGTTTCCTTCACAAGGAAGAGGCTTGTTTTGCGAGATGGGAACATGTCTTAAGCCTCTGGATCTTTGCGTAGCCATCAGCACTGCAGTCCACTAGGAGTGCAAGTTATTGGGGTGACTCAGCTCCCTGGCCCTCACCCCCAAGGCAGATTGCAGCCTCTAAAGAGAAGAGAAAAATCACAGCCTGCCCTGCTACCCTGAGGCCTTCACCCTGAAACTTACTCCCTTTTCCCACTTTTACATATTCTTGAGTCTGAGTCAAATTCCCTGAAAAGAAATTATTAGAAGGACAATTTTCCAAATGATCAATTTCACCTATTGACTAATGTACCAAATTTACCAAACTGGATAGTGTGTAATATTTGACTAGAATGTTTAGCTACTTTAATGGGAATGTCTTAAAATTAATATAAATGTCTCATTTTTGCTACAAATGATTCTACATAAAGAAGCATATTTTATAATTAGTAATGCTATTTCAGCATTTCACATGGGAACTTTTCAGTTTATGCTAATACTTATGTGTAACTGTTTTAACTAATGGCTACTTTTGATTTTCTTTGCATGCTTTGGAATATAAATTCTAGTTTAATTTACTTTAAAACTGATTCATCTTGCATGCTTCCTAATTTCAAATTAAATTTTGGATTTTTTTGATATTGAAGATTTAGTTTAAATTTAAATTTAATGCTTTAAATCTTTATGAGTGCTTTTGAATATAAATAGAATAAATGTAAGTGTCAAATTGCCAGGAGTATAAAAATTAAGGAATATATGAACATCACTGAAAAGTGCTTGATGTTTAGAGAAATGGAAAATAACATTGTGGCATAATAGAATTTAGCAGTGGTTAAAAAAAATTCCCCACACAGAGGGTATGTGCTATGGTGAGTGCTGTGAAGTGTGTAAACCTGGCGATTCACAGACCTGTACCCCTGGGGATAAAAATATATTATATGTTTATAAAAAATAAAATAAAAAAAATGCTAAAAAAAAATTCCCCACACATAAGGAAAAACAAGTCTCTTGATTTTATGGCTGTTCTATACAGAAATAAACCGTGTCTTATGATAAGTAACATTGTCCCTTTTTGGCAAATCAGCTAAGCAACTCCAAAGATATTTTTATATTATTTTATTACTTTATTAAAGATTTACTTACTCTGGACATTGCTGCTATGAACATTGGGGTGTCTGTGCCTCTTATTTTTCACTGTATCTGTATCTTTGGGGTAAATACCACAGGGTGTTATACACAACTAATGAATCATTGAACACTACATCAAAAACTAATGATGTACTGTATGGTGGCCAACTTAACATAATTAAAAAATAAAGATTTATTATTAATTTAGAAAGAGAGAAAATGAGAGAGTGAGTGAGAGAACACACAAGTGGGAGGGACAGAGGGAGAGGGAGAGAGAAAATCTCAGGCACACTCCCTGCTGAGCATGGAGGCTGATGCCGGACTAGAACCCCATGAGATCATGACCTGGGCAGAAACCAAGAATTAGACGCTCAACCAACTGAGCCACCCAGACACCCTTAGAAACATACTTTTAAATGCCACTTTGGGTTTTTGCCGATCTTCTTGCATTTTTAGTATTTTGCAGATAGCCAATCTACCTTGATTTATTATTTCCAGTCCTTAGTGGCCACATTTTAAAATGCAAAATGATTGCTTTGCTGCTTCTGAATTGATTCTTCCTTGACTATAGGCCTGGTTTTTGACACATGACTAGTGTGACAAATCTCTTCTGGTCATTTTCAAAGCCCTTCCACTGTTTTGGTGTTCCTCTTCTTCTTGCACCTTTCTACAAACTGCTGGCAAGTCAATGTAAAATTTTAATTAAATTAAAATGAAAATAAGTTAACTTTAA